TAATTGTGTATAACTTTATCGTTTCTACTTCCGTAAACCATTTCGTTTTAGCGGCTAGTCATCTTTCTGCCTCTCGTTTGTATTTAGAACTCAAAATATGTCTCCCTCTTCATTTCAGTTTATTCTATATATTTCAAAGTGATATGCTGAACAAATGATATAATATTAAATTATTTTGTTTATAAAAAAATTTTATTACTAAGTTACTTATGCATCGATCTGTGTTTCTGCTATCAATCTATACTATTTACCTTTTACCTAAAATAAAAATACAACTAATGCTTTAGAGACAATGTGTTATCCACCTCTAAGTTTTTATATTTAAAGTTAGATCCGGCACATAATGTTATTCAGAACTGCTATATTAGCAAGCGTCTACACTGGCTAGACTATACCAATATATTCGCATACACTCCCACTTTTTTACTAACCCATAAAAACTTTTGTTCGCAGAAAAAAATCAAACTGCTACAGTTTAGTTAGTGAAGACCCTTACCTATTGTACGCCATCAACTATACTTTAAGCCTAAATAAACAAATAATATATAAATTATTTTAACTATATATATTTTAATTTTCTTTATAATGAATTATTATATATTTATGTTTAGAATTATATTTTTAACTAATAATCAAAATTCATTGGATGTTAATATATATCCATTGGATCCATTGAATTTCAATATGTGTTATTTTACTGCATTTAATTTTTATAGGTAATATATTTAGTAAAATATTTATTATTATTAATTGTTAAACTTAAATATATTAACAGATTTCACTAACAGATTATCAATTTATTGGCTGTTATATAGAAAATAGGTTTGCAATTTTAATCGCTTCATAAATAAAACTTCTGCTTTATTGAAATGATTGACATTTCATCATTAATGTAGAAAAATATGATATATATGATATAAAATATTATATGTCATTATTATGTAGTTATGGGATGAAAGTAGAAACAGACGGATTTCGTTGCTGTAATAAATAATGAAGTAAAATGAACATTTTTTTTTCATAAATTACTAATTATCATTTATTAAATATTTTTTACATATAAATTTTAAAACTTCAAATTAAACGTTGGAAAAGTGGTTTGCTCTCGGATACTATAAAAATTTGCGCCACTACTGATTCGAACTTACAATAGATAGTTTTTTTTTAATATCAATAATAGTTACATATGTAGTAATGTATCTAACACATAAATTCAGAGAAAAAAAATATATGTAATACAAAGATTTACATTTGCGGTTACAATATACATCGTACAATTAAAACTTTAATTACTTTTGTACAATAAGTGATAAAACAATACAGTAACTGACATTAATAGTTAAAAAGTAACTTTTCAATATATAATTGATACTTGTATATAAAATTTAGAAAAATAACAGTCCAAAAAGATACAATATTAAAAACCAGTATAATTTAAAATAATAAAACAAATAATAATTATTAGTGATTTATATTAGAAATAACTCAAACTGAGTAATTTAGAAATTCACAATAATAAATATAACATAAATAATGCACAATTGTAAGATATATGTTATATTTTTGTTAAAAGAAGGG